ACTTCAAAGTATTGATGCTTACTTATAAAGCCCTAAACGGTTTAGGACCTCAATACCTGGTGGAACGCCTTCTCCCACCAAGATCTACCGGGGTCACTCGTGCGAGCCAGGAGGTGAGGCTGAGGAGCCTGACGCCGAGAGAGGCCTGGAATGAGAAGACCAGAAATCGGGCCTTCTCGGCGGTGGCTCCTCGCCTATGGAACAACTTACCTCCTGAGATTCGCGCCGCTCCCTCGCTGGGCATTTTCAAGAAACAATTAAAAACACTTATGTATAGGCAGGCCTTCCCAACAGCTAACCCCTGACAATCTTTTTCTTTCTATATTATTTTGACCTTTATCTTTGTTAATTTATAATGCTTTTAGAATTTACTGCTGTTGATTTGTAAGCCGCCTAGAGTGGTCGAATAAGACCAGATAGGCGGGATAGAAATGAAATGAAATGAAATGAAATGAAATAAATAAATAAATAAATAAATAGCAGGACCTGGAAAGAAATGGAAGCACAGAGCCAGTGGTGACAACAGGGGGTCAAGAGTGTGAAAAAGTCTGATTTACGAGCTCCCTCTCTTTATTCTTCAGGACAACATTTTGCTAACTTCACTGCAGAGGTGTTGCCAGGGCAATTAAACCATGACTATAGAAGGTTCACTATGAGCCACCAGAGTACTAACCTGCTATCCAGGCAGATATACCTAGCCAACAAGTAGATGGAATCTATATGCACTTGCTCGTATCACACTCTCTTCCACTGTAGTCGGAAAGCAAAATACTACCCCAATTTGATTTGTCTATTCATGTGTATCTTGGCTCAAAAGCTTCAATTTTGCCTGGGAAGGTAAGCCAACAGAAATTTTGCTTAAAAAGATAAATTAAGTTTGATAGCTTCTCACCACATCTTGCTTCACTAAACAAAGCAAGAGTGCAAAACATGGGACCTCTCTGATAATGACAAACTCCTCCATTTTTAATCTACTCATGCATTTGTTCTCCATTTTATGTGGAAACAACAAGAGTAGTTTTCCCACCATGCAGATAATGAAGGGTTTAACTATAATGGTATTGTATTGACTATAACAAACTGTGATAAAACATCTTTTTTCTGAACTTTATAAACCAACTCTTGTAGCAGTTTTATGTTTGTTCCACAATCTACTGAAGATAGAGTGCAGGTAGCAAGAGGTGCTAATCTTCAAACTTAGCACTGTCCTACTATATTAAACAAATTTTTTTGTTCAGCATAATATCATATTGAAATAATTTTTGTCAGATTTTTTAAAGGAGCTGACTGTGAAGTGGGTTGATTTTTGAAGTGGATTAGCAATAAATATCCATGTGTTGGAATTTTTCAGTGCTTTGCTGTTTTAACTCCCAAGGATCTTTTCCAGCATTTCCTCAAAATTTTTTAGAGTTATTTTTCAAGGTGGCTGATTTCAGGATGGATTAGTGGCAGATGTCTGCTGCAGTCAAAATCATTTAAGCATTTAATTAAAAGAAGAGGGAGAATTCAACAGACTAGTTCACTTTAAAATGCTTTAAGCAGTTTCAAAAGGTTTCCTCAAGATTTTTGAAAGATTATCAAAAAGATTGCTGAAAGATCCATTTCTTATGCCAATTACTTAGAAATGGGATTTGAGCACTAAGTGTGAATGGAAATCATAGTAATATGGGTCACTAAGTGATACTAGCATAAAAAAGAGAGGAGCAAATACTGTCTGGATGAGCCCAAGACCACTGATGAAGATAACAGAACCACAGAGTTAAAAGAATCCTCAGGAGTCATTGAGTCCAACCTGTGACAAAGCAGGAAATAATGTTGGGTTTTCTGGGAATTTCTAATTTGGAATAATGCCTAAATAACAAATTTTTTCCTAAGGTCTTGCTTACTATTTATAATTTTGCCTTTCCCTGCAAGTCTCCCTACAACTCTCCTTTCCCTACACTTCTCCCTACACTTCAGACTCCCAGATGAATATCTCTTTTGCGATTGTGAACCACAACTTTCTTTTTCAGAGCAAACACTACACAAGCAAGAGTTAGTAATAATTTTATCTCTCTGATTTATATACCAATTTATCCAAGATTAAATTTTGCTAAACTCAGTTTAAATTACTTGTAAGAAACATATATACAATTCCACTCTTTTTCACTTATTTGCTGTGCTCTAATTTCTCTGCTCATTTCTAGAGACGTTCTGAGGTTATCTGTTGCTACACATAAATACATTGTGTGGTAAGTTCAATAATTTGGATAAACCACCATTACAAGTGCTTTGTCCTATTTCCATTTCTGTTAATAAATACTAATTAACAGACCCAATTCACAAGACATCCAGTAGTGCATAATCATTGCCTCAGTGGGAAGTAGCTGACTCCCCTAGCACAAAGGACCCCTGGAGTGGGCTAAATGCAAATGGTCAAGAACTGTGGAAGTCATAGTCTAAAACGTCTTGACAGATGTTGGTTCTCTACCCCATCTCTATTATTTTTAAAAAATAATTTTACCTATCTTTCACCTAAACAAAGGACCCAAGGCAAGGTAACATCATTAAAAAGGCCAATAC